TTGTAGAAGAACGCAGGGGATTGTATCCAAAATGAACAGCTAGAATTTTGATGCCGTAGAATGCTAAAACGCCGATCCACAAGGAGTAAGAAATTTGGCAGTCAAGGTATATTTAACTTTTATTTCAGTAAACATCTTGTGGCCACAATGAAGTTGGCACATTTATTGTGCCTATTCTAAAAAAGCTTACATTTTTTATAGATTTGCAGTGAAACAGAAGGAGCAGACAGACAGCAGTCAGCTAAGCCAAAGCGGTGAAAGCAAGTGCGTGTGCGTTATGTTCAGAGTGAAATCTTAATTCAGACTGAGTTAGTTTTAGTTTTCAATGCATTTTGATTAGATGGTTAATATCGCTGTAAAATGTTTTCTCGAAATGAAGCAGTGCAAATAGAGGTTACTATTTTTAAAATGCAGAAGGGGATTAACTTTCTCTGCTAATTTAATCTTTTACTTATTCTTTATTTTTCTTACAGATATATACTATATACATATATATAAATATATATGTAAGAAAAAGATTAAATTAGCAGAGAAAATTAATTTCCCTTCTCTATTCTAAAAATAGCAACATCTATTTGCACTGCGTCATTTCCAGAAAAATCTCTGTCATATGACTCTTACGTAATTCTGGTGATGTAAATTGAACTAAAACTCAAGCAACCAATAATAATTTTAGAGTCATATTAACTATCCAATCAGAATGCTTTGAGAACCAAAACTAACTCAGTCTGACTTGAGATTTCATTCTGAATATTACGCACTTGCTTTGGCTAGCTACACTGCTGTCTGTCTGCTGCTGCTTTCTTGGGACAAAGTTATCAAAAATGTATGCCTTTTGGAACAGGCATATTTAATGTGCCGACTTGTGTATAGCTGCAACATGCTGCCGAAAATAAAACTGAAGATTTAATCTGCATTCGCCTCCAATTTCCTAGTCATTATGGTGTTGGTGTATTTAATGATGGCAAAGCACACGAGGGCTATCTGCCTAAGGGGAGGGATGCCTTTCGTGGAGGACTTTCTAAGGGCAACTGGCTCGTATACACGTTACACATGGGGAAAACCACGAAAACGCCCATGCAGCCAGCCCGTTCGCGGGATTCGAACCTCGGACCGAACTACCAGTGTTCAGCGACTTTACCGCTCGGCCGCTGGTGGGCCCTAGTCATTATGGATCAACACCTCTACGCAATCAAATTTCCTGTTCCTGGTCTTGAATTTATTACATACTCGTATATATCGACGCCCTTTACCCGGATTTTTAATTTTGCAATCGTTGGTGGTAGTCAGATATTTCCATTTACAGAAGTGTTTTAAATGACGAAAGTATTCGTGTTTTGGTAATGTCAGATATTTTTAAAAAATTAATTTTTAACCTATAGCGAAATCTAACTTTTAATGCCGTCTCCCAGTTCCTATGCTTATACTTGAAGCAGGAAAAGTTTTATACTCATTACGGAAAAATAAAATTAAAAGACGTGTGATTCCCGCATGACAAAAATTGGCCGGGACATTTAATTTCAGAAGTTGTAACTTTTTTATGTCTTGCTCGAGGGATCGGTTAGTTAAGTTAAAATAATTTCTAAATAAGAAGGAGGAAATAAAAAGGAATTCTAGGAAATAAGAAGTTTAAATGAAGTGCAACAAAAAGTTTGTATAATTTAATAAACCGTATAAGAAAGTTATGTGGTGTGTACATCAGATTTGTTTTCCTAAATATTTTTTACTCAATTTTTATTCTATGGAGAGAACAGTTACGGCTGAAAGTTTTTTTTTCATCGACCAAATTTTTGTTTTACCTTCTTTCACTTCTAGCAACAGTAAGTGGCAAAATTAAAACATCCTTAATGCAATTTTCGAACACGGATAGAATTCAGCTACATCATATTCGAAAATATCTCTAAAAATTTGAAAATATATCTAAATATTTGATTGCATTAGAACAGATAAAAAGCGCTTTTTTTAAAAGATATGAAAAATGAGAAATTACGATTTTAACTACAACACAAAGGCATGAGGAAAAGAGGAAGAAATACCTTTTATATTCACCTCCCTTTTAAAGGGCGACTATGGATTAGGGAACCCACTCGTTAAATTCTGGGGGGGGGACGAGTTATTTCTACCACCTTTTAGTTCGGGCTCTATGCGTAGAGCCATTAGACCATTATGAAGCAGGAAAGGTGAAAAATGCGCAATGCTCTCGCCGGAACTTGAACCTGTACCTCTCGAATACGTGCCATACCTTACCTTCACACCACGAATCATGCGGAAATTACGGAGAAAATGCATAAAACTTAATTTTGATTTCAAAATTTTTTATTTACATCATTTATATTAATCATGCGGAAATTACGGAGAAAATGCATAAAACTTAATTTTGATTTCAAAATTTTTTATTTACATTTTTTATTTACATCGTTTATCAAATATTTATTGTTTGATGTCGTCTATAAATATAAATTTAACGCATTAGTATAAACGATGCTTGATATTAACGAGCTAAAATTTATATGAAATATGGGATACTGACTTTTAAGTATTACGCAATTTTAAATCGTTAATAATTAAATACGTTTTCGATTGGGTTTCCTCGACCGAATAAGTAGGAATAAGAACAATATGCTTGCAATCTATAAGTTGCTCAAGTTAATTTATCAGTCTTCCTGTAAATAATCATCAAGAAAACTGCCTGCACAATTCTGTGGGAAGTTAAATAAGGATACGCCAGGCGAAAAACTCAAACTATAGACGATCTTTCAGTGGCGAACCGATTAACGAAAAACGGAGGAAAACAAACTTTAAGCAAAAGCCTGAGAATCCTGATTCAAATGGGTTATATTTAATTTTTAAATGCGGTTTTTTAGTCTCCCGATGCCATCAGAATGGGCTTCAGAGTGTTAGCCTGCTGTCGTCTACATTCATTTACTGGGCACTGAAAAGCTCGTCATGGCGAGGTAAAATGCTCAGAGCTTACATATAGTTCAGATTAGAGGAAGATAAATAAGAACTATTCATTTCGGCAGGATTTTGTTTTTTAATCAGGTTCAATTTATGCAACTCATTACGCAAACGTAAATCAACTTCAGTCTGCTTGTTCTAACTATAAAGTTTACAGTAAGTTAGCAAGTCTTTACTAAACTGAGAATTTGCAGCATTTTAAGAACAAGTTAATGTCTTTATTCGGCTGAATTGTTTACAAAAAATTCTTTTAAACCTCTAGGAATTAATGAAAACTATGTAATAGAAATGTACACTTAAGAAACCTAATAGCGATAAGTGAAAAAAATAATTGAAATCAGAGTGAAACTACTTTTTATATTGATGCTGCTGTGCGATGTCAAACTTAATCTGAGAAGGTGAAATCTTGTCCAAGAGGAAGGTTATTTAAAAATGGTTAATGGAAGTCTGATTAACGGCCATTAGCGCAGAGAATGAAAGAAAAATCTAGATGCAATTCATCTAAATTATAACTAGTTTTAACATAATATTACTACTTTATACGTGAAGTTAACAGTGCAGCTCTTAGTATTCGTTTATCTTCCAAATGTGTTGACTGTTGATGCGACGAACTCACATACTAACAAATTCAGTTTCTCACAATAGAGATTTATGAAATATACAGCATATAAAATACCAAATTATGTACCATATTAAACAGCCATTTCGGTTGCGCTTAACATTTTTCATTTATTGTATGAACAGGAATTTCAACTAGTACTACGTTCTTATTTTCGCGTTTCAAGATACGGACACAGTACTATGGTGTCTTCAGTTTTTTGCGTTTTAGGATACGCTCCTATAACAAGTAGTTTCATTTTTACTTTCTTTTACCATGTAAAGGAAGTATTGTAATCGCGAAATATTCCGCGTATCATATTTCAACGAAAATATCCATTTTTACCAGTATCGAATGAAATTTAACGATGTTTTTGCGTGACATCTGTACTAAGCACAGAATAAAGGACTCTTTTTTCCGCAAAACGAATTATAAAACTGATTTAAAATGGATTCAGAAAAGATTTCTTCGTTAAATCTATATGTACGTTCGTTACGTATGTATGTATCTCGCATATTTCAAAAACGAATAGCCTCAGAAAATTGACATTTTGAATATAAGACTGCGCTATAACATGTAGTTGTGCACCTCCTATTTTGGCTGCAATCGGCCGCACAGAAAGTATATAATACCTACTCTGTTACTCGGCTCAGTTAACTCAATTTTTTTTATTCTTATAAGTTGGTACATTTTGCATTTTTTTGCTTTAAAAATTATTGAATTATGTTACTCGTATCTTCCAGTTAAGGTTTTAATGCCTTTATTTAATCTGCATGCGATAGTTGTAGAATTATCATCAATTTAAAAGTGGTTTAAGTGCGGCTAAGCCTAGGTTTTTTTTTTTTTTTTTTTTTTTTTTTTTTTTTTTTTTTAAACCATAGCAGCCATATTTATTTATAATTGAAACGTAGAAGAATAGTGATCTCAAATTTTATATCTCAATATTTGAAACGTAGTAGAATGCTGAATTAAGTCTTTCTGCACCTTCAGTGTCGTTTTACCGAGTGGGACCAAAATGAAGTTTTATGAACCGAAAAATCTTTGCTTTTGCGTAGAAACTGTAATTTTAAATGTAATTTTTTTTTCCAGTTGTTTTAACTGTATTTGGTGTTTTGTGTTTTTCTGTATCTTTCAATTTTTAATGAAGATATTTTGAGTTTTCATGTAGTTTTTGCCTTTCCGCGAAGTGAGAACTGAATTAATTAAATCAGAAATATATCTCTAATGAAATTGGAGGTTTAAACGAAATGCAGGAAAAAATGCGTATAATCTAATATTCCGTACAAGTACACAAGTAATGTACACATCAGTTTTTTACTTACGATTTCCAATCTAGCCGTTCGTTCAGAAGCATCACTATTAACATTTACAATTACAAAATTATTTCAGGTATACCTAAGTTAATATGCGTTATTTGTGAACTTAATTAAAAAGTGAATAAAGATAACATTAATAAAATATTTTATTATATACTTAACATCACTTCACAGACTGATGGAAGAGGAGAAAAAACACTTCACAGACTGATGGAAGAGGAGAAAAAATGAAAATTCTTCGCTTATACAACACTGTACATGAGAAGGAGAGAACATTTTATCGAGATGGATATCAAACTGAACATTCCATTTCACTAGTGAAAAGTATACAGGAAGAGTCACTGAACATATAATATACAAATACTGTGTTTCACAATAACTCAACAATACACGTTTTCACCAAGTACTACTAGTATGTTTCTAGACTAGGCATAAGAACTGGAAAATGTAATAAATTAAGATTTTAAGGTTTCCCAATATTTTTCAGCATAAAAAAGAGATAATGTTAAAATTGAGATCATGTGTATTAAAAATTAAAACACTACTATGATTTCTTCTGCAAATTGTGAATTAGACAATATATTACTGAATACAGCAGTGGCAACAATTTCTATTCATATTACCAGTAGATTAACAAAATTACTTCTTTTCCATTAAAATAATTTGTCCTACTTCAAAAGTATCTCATCTAAAAATTCGGAATACTTTATCCAAAATTAAATGATTATAGACCCAATTTTCTTAAATTATTGAGTTATTTTTAAACCGGATCTATAAATAGTTGAAAAACTAGAGAATTTTTTTTTAAAATTCATATTTAAACATGAAGCTCATTGAGTATCACTTGAGTTATTGAGCAAATATTCCTTTAAAAAGAAATATCAAAAACTATTTGTTAATTTAAAGTGCCTAGTAATAATTACTACTATTCATAAACTATACTTTTTTCCACACTGTTTAAAGAAACTGCAATCTGAACATGTGCACAGTTAACGCACAACACTTTCGACGGATAGAACAAATTTTTAAATTTACACACAATTACACTTCACAGTTATTACAATATCTGGTTATCAATATATATGAAATTTAAGACTTCTAATCATACACGCATGCAGAAATAAATTTAATGAAATATACTCACAACTGCTCGTATATTTCGATAGTTGTGAATATAAAAGACCACAATAATAATTTTATTATAGTAAATCTACTTACAATTAATCCTTATTCAAAGTAAAATATAATCTTTCTTTTAATACAGTTTCAACATTACGTATTTCAAACTGCAATAGCAACAATAACACTAGAATTATTTACACATTTTGAATTTTCAATAATTCGGAAACTTCTTCAAAACTCAATTCAGATCTTAGAATAATAGTAAACAAATAGGCAAAAGATAATTAAGAGATTAAATTATGTTTTGCATTCTATACTTTCCTCAATTTAAGATAAATAAAAAAATTATGTTTGAATTTATTTTTCTACTTGCGAGATCAAGATTTTCAGATTTACTACACAAAATCAGTTATGACAAAGAACATAAATAACTATTGGAATATTTCAATTAATTTAATGTATATATTACGTTAAAAAACTAATAATGATGACTTAACACGTGTCACAACATACATTTGTTCCCGTAAAAAATTTGTGTATTATAAAATATTTGGAATAATATTTCAAATATTTTCAGTTGAACGCTTTAATTAAAAATTTAAATTTCTTAGTAATGTTGCCATAATCCTTTAAACGTAAGTCATTATTCACTTTCAAATTGCTAATGAAATTAATAAATCAGAATAATTATGCAATTTTTATCTGTGGTTACAATGTTTTCCACCCTAAAGAATCTAATAAAAAGTATCTACAAGAATCAGAAACATTTCTATACAGAAAATTATATTCAGGCAGTTAAATAAAGAAAATCGTCTGTCAACACATTTTAAATACAGTGGACCAGATAATAAATTAAAAAAAAATTAATGATAAAAATGTTCAATAATGATTCAATAAGTTCTGCTCCAATATGGAGTGTCACTGACTACATTTTGGAGACACCAGTTCATATAAATAACGCACCGGTGTAAGATGGAACAGATAAGTTACTGATACGGCAATAGAAATAAAATGACTTAGCAATTTTGCTACTTCCATATTTAAACTCTTTACACTTTTTAGTCCTTTCTCAGAAGTCTGTTCTTTTGGCACAAAAAAAAAAAAAATAGTTTTCTGCTTTAAACTTCAGAGGTGTTTATCACTTAACAAGTGTTTATCACTTAACATCCAAGAGGAAACCCAAACTTGGAATAAGAAAAGAATTGTATCACATGGCTTCCAGAAACAAATTCTAAATCCCTAAACAAAAAATAAAACCTTCAAGGGAATTAAAAATTCCCATTACAAATTTCATAATTCAAACTTCTAAGGATGTCAACAATTTTAAAATTCTTTACATCTTCAGTGATATTTTTTAAAGGTTAAAGATATAAATTTTTCTTATTCAGTCACCTTTGAGAAACTTCTAAGCAGAAAAACAGACATAAAAAAATGTCAAATATATCCGCGATGAATAAAAGTTCGCTACTTTAGAAGCAACACTTCATCTATCTGAGGATTCACTTTATTCTCGTTCTATGACTGTCTGTGGGCTTTGTGTTTCGACTATGTTTGGAGATGTTCTGTTACTATGAGGTGGGGTGGTGGTATCTACACTGTTCGGCATATCAGTGGATGATGGCCTGTTGCAAAGTAACATGTCTTTCAGGCCAGCAACTTCAGATGCCAGTCTCTTCAATTCGAACCTCAACTGGAAATTTTCCGCCTGCAGATCTACACTTGCGCCTTTATTTCTTCTGGATAGCCTTGCCATCTTTCGAGGAGGTTCAGATTCGGGTGACGAACCTTGTGTGTCAATTTTGTGAATTGGACTTTCCTTTCCACCACCAGTACTACTGTCTCCATCTGAGGATGTATCTTCTCTTCCACTACTACGGCCACTATCTGGGTAAGTCGGGAGAGGAACAAAAGTGTCTCTGTCTCCAATCAAAGTTTTGTGGCGAAGTTTAAGTGGTAAACAATGTTGTGGATGGATCTGGACTTGGATCGGTTCATCCCCTGAAGACCAAGAACATGATTCATCCCCATTGGGGGATACCTGGGGGGAATTCGCTTCTTGTTGAATACGTTGATTGGTGTTATGGTGATGTTGCTCATAATCACTGTGATTAATGTTCCCATTGATAGCCAAGCGCTGAATGACCTGTTGCTGCAACTGTTGTTGCTGGTGCTGATGATTCATCAACATTGCCTGATGGTGCTGATGAGATTCCTTCAGAGCATTTTCGTGGCACTCCTGCCACTGCGCTGGGTCTATCATATGCAAATGAGGCATCATATGATGGACATGATGCTCTGGAATACTGCCATTAGAAGGACCATGGTTGACCATCCCATTTGTGTTATTGATCCCATTGCTTTCTGGAACAATGCCACCTCCATTTGGTAGAAGTGTGCTAAGCAACTTACTCCTCCGATTCCTTACATCTACTGGAGGACATGGTATGTGCAGTTGCATATGTTCAGGGTTGATGATGGGCTGTGGTGGTAGGGAGAATTTGTCTCTTAGGGCAACAAGTTCGGCCCTCAACAAAGCATTTTCCTTTGTAAGTTCCAGCATACGAGTTTCTAGTACCATATCATTCAATCTTCTTTTTTCCCTTGAGCGCTTTGCTGCTTCATTATTGCGCCTGCGTCTATCCCAGTAACTATCGTCTTTCTTATTATCAGGAATAAACTCACGCTGCTTACGAGCGGGAAAAATTTCCTTTGCTTTCAGAGCTGCCGTCAAGTCTACTGGCACTTCGATAGGATTGCTCCAGGCAACAGTCGTAGGAGCAGCGGAAGTTGGATAAGGATTAGGTGACATACTGTTGGTGCTGCTACAAGGACTAAGTGGAGAATAAACTGTTTGGGTATTGTTAGAGCCGTTGGAGCTACTGGTTGAAAACGGTGGTGTAGAAGATGGTAAATCTGATATCCGGGTTTTGTTCGAAGATGGCTCAACAGCCGTGATCATCATCATGGATTCAAATAAGTGCCTGAAATAAAGGGGAAAATATAAAATATATATATATATATATATATATATGGCACAGTTCATGAAACTACACGATTTATCAAAACGCTACATACATAAAGATGTGGGATAACATTTAAATTTGAAATCGAAACAGACCTGCAGAAGTCTTTCTGTTAATTTAATTCGTTTCTCTTCTTCTAAAACTTGGTACGTTCGTTTACATGCTTTAATATTTGTTGACGTATTTAATTTCTGAATTATGGTTTTCATTTTCATAGTTTTATGATTTTCATTCTAAAGGTGTCGCTAACGTATTTCATTTCTGTTAATCGTTAAGTATGTATAAATGTTATAAATAATCTTTAAGTATGTATATATTTCTATTATAAATAGTACGTATGTAATCTATATATAATAATTCAAATGCACATTTACATAACAGCAAAAAGTGAAACCGTATCTTCATACAAAACGTTTCAAAACCAGTAGTATGTCTCTTCATCCAAAAAAACCCATCTTATTAAAAGAAATGCTTTATCACTGGTCTGACTACTTGAGAAACATTAATATTCCATGCTCTGTACTTTTAAGATGGGCGTTCGCTTAATATTTATATTGCCTACCACCTGTTTCAGCAGCCTGCCATAAAGCCATAAAGCTTTCAGCAGCTTTGCTCTTTAAAACTTTTCAATGTATGAAAAAGCTCAGAAAATACAGATCGTTTATTCAGCTATAAAACTGTCTCTTTAATCATCCGCTACGTTACATCATTATACGCTTACAATTACCAAGAACATAAAATGCATGAGAAACTGGGGGCTGAACACTTTTTTAAATAATTTCGGAAAAAAATTATAATTTTAAACTGCAAACCCGATATATCGTTTACACAAATAAATTCACTATAATCTGTTACTTTAGAACAGGCACTTCCATGAAATTTATATCTGCAGCAGAATAATTCCTGCAGAAAACAGTTACATACTCTAATTTGTTTCTCCTAATTCCGTCTGCGCAGCGATAACGATATACGTTACGATCCGTAAATGAGGGAGGGAAAGGGTCGCTATGCACTTCAACGCCTATTTTAAAGTAACAGATTATTGGTGCCTTACATGAATTAATCTGATAGTTTAGTTTAGTGACGGAGGACGTGGGCACAATGTTTAACTGCCTCAAGCTCAGCATAATAAAATTACCCTGATGAAAATAATAATGATAGGGCAGAAAAACACAGTGAAAAAATAACAATGATGTAGTAGTTATATTGTTTTGTGATCTGGAAATTAAAAATAGGCTTTTGCTCCTTAAAAAGAGAACCCAAAATTTGTCTGCCTCTAAAGCGCATGACTTTGTCAATGAAAATAATAAAGTTGGAGTTTGCCTTATTTTGGATTTGAAGTTAGAGCGGTTCTGCATTTTAACGAAATCATTTTTGATCGTAGCGTTTCCCGAAGTATACAAAAAAAATATTTTCCCACTATTCACAAAAACAAAAGCCAAGTAATCCCTAGCTTGCTCATTCTGGGCCTTTGTATATGCTGGTTGTATCACGGGAAAAAAACCCTCATGAATACGAAACGGTTAGCAATCAGTTTATTCATAAAACCTTTACATATGCCATCAAAAAGTGATGAATACTTGTCAAGTAATAATAACGGGATAATATTCCAATTGGTCCTACAGCGTGCTCAAGTCGACGTTGGATATCATGCCGAAAGGTTCGGAGTTCGAATCCTACGTGCGGTACGGTTGGTGATGCAATCTAGTTGAGATTTACTACGGCAGACTGGTTATTTTTTTTAAAGACGCTGACGATAAATTGCGCAACTTTAAATTTGTTTAAAGACATTTTTGCTGAGATTTCATAATTTACAAACGAACTGAAACGTCTAATTTGTCTTCTAATATTTCTCCGTAGGAAATAACATTGTTCTCTGTAATTCGAAATAGGAGAAAATACTACACATCCGAAATGTTACTAGCAATTTTTTACACAACATATACTCATTAACAAAATATCATATCCACATGAATGGTACGCAGTTTTCATTTTGAGTAAATCTTTCGTAAATTTCCTAATTGAGTTTGAAATGCATCTGTGTCTTGTAAAACTGTTTTATCAAATCAATAATTAAATTAAATATGCACAGAAAGTCCTTTTTTGTTTTTCCCCTCTTAAATATTAATGTTATCAGGTGACCAATACTTGAAAAATGGTAACAATGGGCATGGAAACTGTGATACAAAACACTGCTCTGCCTTTTCTTATAATGAACAGCAGCATGGTGAAATGACCAATCCATATTTTGGCGAACTCCTTCAACTCTATAAGGAGGGGGAGCAATATTTCTGCATAAAGTTTCTCAACTTAGTTCATATGCGTACAAAGAAAAAGGTTAACATTATACGTTATTGCTCTGCTTCTCAAAAACATACAGATTTTTTTTTACTCTCTTATTATGAGAGCCTTTGTTTCTATTGTTCTTGAAAACCCGTGGTGTTCTTCAGAACCCGTGAGAAATTCATGATTTGAGTAGGTTATTTTGGAAAACTGCCTATAAAATGCATGATTTGCTTTCAAGCTGGCCCTTCATTAATTTCAAACATACTGTGTGAATCAATTTTGGATAACTTTAAAATTTCAAAAATTAGATATCACATCACCTGGGAATCAAAAACTAATATTACAGTTTAACGAAAACATTTTTCAAAATCATAACATAATTTAAATCGCTTTAAAATCATAAATATTAATAATAATGCCTTGCACTGCCTTTAATCCTTTGTAATACCTTGAACCGATGCATAACTATTAATTTTTAACAATAATTAGTAACTAATCAGTTACTAAAACGTAGGAAGGAAACCAACCGCAAAAATCTTATGTGGCTGAACTGCCTTCTTGGAGTACTTCAAAGGTATTTAGGCTCATATTCATGTTACACACAGTAAAAAACATGTCACCAAGTAGACAACCGGCCAGCTCACCATTAGGAAATGAAGCCGTGACAAACTATCAGGATTCAGAGATTTTACCTTACATCTTCTGTTCGGCGTAAATTAATCGATATAAATAATAAAAGTATACGCAAACACTCGGACATTACTTTTATCAAATTCGTTAAATTATTTAAATACCAATCAAAATTATCATTTTATAATATTTGAACACATCCTCTTAAACATACATAAAACATATAAACTTTAAAAAATTAATAAAAGTTAATGGGATCTATATAATCGTTTCAAACCTCACATGGTTTTACGAATCGCGTTGTTATGAAAAAAGTAATAAAATTTATCAGCTAACTTTAATTTCTTCTAGATTTCTTTAAGGTCGCAATTTTTTCCTTTAAATATATTGAAAAATTATTTTGAAAGTCTGTGAGATTTTGAACAGCTCGCATAGAAAAGTAATTTATAAACACCGAAACAAAAATTTAAAAATTCTTTGGTATGTCAATAATGAGTTAAATATACAATGATACTACCAAACATTTATATACTTTTTTTAATTTTTGATGGGAATATTAGTGATATAACAACAAAAGCGTTTTGTTATCATAAACGACATTACTGATACCTATTATATTACAGATCTGTTACTGTACGATACGCAAAATTTCCCTTTCCTGTGCCCACCCCTTTCTCAACCGGCACATTTTGAAACCTTTAAGGTTCAAAAAACGCTTCATGCCCTGCCTACACCACTGTTCGAGAGTCAGTCATATATATATGGTAAGAAGCAATTATTACGCAGCTTTTTCTACGTTAAGAGCTTTTTGAGAAGGTTAAAATCATCATTTTAAAAAGGTTAAAAAATTATTTACAGTTTAAAAAGAATCAATAACAGCTTCTCGAATTCTATACGCATTTACGTTTTCACAAATAAAATTATACAATTCTCCAGATGTATTATCTATAAACTTTAAACTTTGCATTCTATTATTTATGTAAAAAAATCAACATTATACAAACTTATATAGATAAACAGTAAAAATCTGAAGAGAATCCTTTTAATAAATAACTTTTCTTAAATTCATAAAATAACAACATTCACTACAATCTCATAAATAATGTTAAATTAATTTGAAGTTACGAATAAACATTATTTGAAATCATATCATTGTAGATCGGAGCTTTAACAGGCATGAAAATTCGAATTTGTTCTGACATTAAACATATATATATATATATATTATTGAAAAAAACCACGAAAACTCTTGAGCAATTTAAACCTCATTCTGTTATATTACAGAAATTTTAAACCCTCACAAAAATCAACTCTACAGTAAAAAACTTTGTAAAAATTTATAACTCTCTTTATGCGCTAACGGTAACCTCATTTCAAATCATGAAAAACCGTAACCAATATATATATATATATATTAAAAAATATTCAAATAGCATAAATAAATAATTTAACGTTTAAAAATTACTCACAATATTTTCCTTTAAGAATAACTGCTTTGAAGAATCATAACGTCTCTTTAAAAAGTATCCAACAGTAAACAGTTTTCAAATATCCAATATGCAATTATCAATAAAAACGGACGAATAGCAAACAGTTCAACAACTTGAAAGCGCAAATCCAAAACTAAATAAATATTTCAACTCCAATTGCTGCAAACACACGAGGAGTAAAAGTTTATTTTTGGCAAACGACAACCGCGCGGCGAAAAGATACTTGATGAGGAGAGAGTCGAAAGAGAGAGTGAAGTTATTCTACTAACACAAAAACGAGTTCCATACTAACTTCTGTGGTAGGATTAAAACCCTCTTTACGTTTTCTTCCACCACGTGACCTCGACTATTAATACAACTCGCCAAATCCCATCGCCAAGTGCGATGCACTGCTAATATACGGAAGAAATTACGAAAAGGATTCGCTTTCTTTTTTTTCATTTGTTTATTTTTTTACTCTCTATGTCGTTGGTTTTTATCAGCTCGGCTAGAAAAGCGGTTGTTGCACTCTCACTAGTATCAGAGTTTTCTGTTTGAAGAGCTTGGTGCGTTTAGTTCATTATTGTATGTTTCTCTGACCTATTTAATGAACTTGTGCATTATCTTTCCCTGCACTGTATATAGGTGGGGTTATAAAAGGTATTAACTTAAAATGGGAAGTGAGCAATTATTTATTCTTTTAAAATTATCCATAAAATTTTGAATAACGTAATCTTCCACCAAATATGGGCATCTGGAAGCCCTAATTTGAAATTTGTAATTTGTTTTATTACCGATTTCATATTTTGTAAAACTTGTAACGAATTGTAAATTAACAAACTCAGGGATTTCAAATCGAGCTATGGCAACGTCGTACAAAGAAAAAAAAAATATTTTTATCTCCAGCGCGCGAAGCTGTGTATCGGAAATTCTAAATTATATGCTCATTTTAAAATTATTTTGTGATACTGCTCTTGAACTGAATTTTATGGTTTTCAGTACGAAGAACATGATATTTAATAAATAAATAAATAACACAAAACGTTAAAAAAACGCCCCTTTGGGCGTAATGTAAACTTTCAGATTTTATTTTTAGTTCAAAGGAGCAATTCGCCCAGATGGACTATTCATTTCGTTTTGGCATTTTGCGTTGATTCGCTATAAGCAATGTTTTTTCTTTAACTCATTAGTTTGTGATATTTTATGAACTACTTCACAATGCTTTCCTACAAAAATGTTTTCTTCTTCTATTTTGCTCTCTGTTCTTCGTTTATTTATTTGCCTTTAATATAATAATAATGCCAATAGAATTACGGGTAATGCCTTCCAAGACTCCAACGATCACGTGAAATCGCGTATATTATCGACCGCTATATGTATATATTATTGCACTCTACTAAATTCTGATTTGCATAAGAACAAATTGTAATGTGAGATACATTATAATTTATATGAGAAAATGTTCTCTACGTATAAAAGTAAGGGAGTCTTAATTTTTCACCCTAATTCAGTCTCGGCGTCGTATTATGTCTGTAGTGGGAACTGCTTTGAAATGGAAAGTAATGACAGCCTTTAGGCCGCTCTATTTCACCAAGCTAATGTCCGTTTTCACTTAACTAGCACTTTAAAAACCTGTTAGTTTAAAGTTTTAGAAAGCCTTTTTCTGTCTAATTCGAACTGTTGTAATTTTCTTAGCTTAATAAACGGTACAATTCCATTAATAAAGAAAGGTCAAAAAGGAAAAAAAAAAGTCATTCCTTAAAATATCAAGTACTAAAAAATAAAGAAAACAATAAAGTAATGAAAAATACGAGTCATTTTATATATTAAGCTAATAATTATAATATTTTTCTTCTAGAATTTTTTGGGATGGTGGATGAGTACGGATAATTGACACAGCCAACACGAAGGCATCATTGTAACTTTTTTCTTTTGTATTAATATTTTTTGACTTTAACAGTAATGTTGTATTTGTTTAGTAAATTTTAAAAATTCTTCTATATTATTCTCGGCAAATCATATCGGGCAAATTTCCATATAAAACTACTACGCTGATGCAGATGCACTGAAACTTTTTGTAAACAAAAAATGTAAAAATGTCTTTAAGCGAATTCTTTTTTATGTAAACTCGTTCTCATTTAGATTTCTATGCGAACTTCTCTTACTGCATATAAATGTTCTCAATCATTAATTTTTCGACGCTCTAAAATTACCTGCGATCTCAGTATTTTATCCTGCAATGAGTTCTAGATCTATGATCTATTATCATCTATTCTTATATCCAATTCCAAATGCTTTGTGAAACATATGACACGATCATTTCTAAACATTTCCTTTTCGGAACACCTAAGTTTAAATGTATCGATTTTCTATATGCGACTGTTTTTTCTCATCAAAGAATAAAAAGCGTCAACAAAATGCGACAGTAAAGTAAAAAATATAACTTTCAAAAATAAATGACAAATTATTTTAAGGATGGAAAAATGCAGATAACAGTTAAGCGGGCTATCAGTCGTACGAGAGAAGCTTAAAATATGAAAGATAAGCAAAAAAAAAGTGATTCATAATTCTGCTAAATTATTGCTGAAATATCAACTAAAATAATGTCTCCTCAGTTTGAATTTTTAAATTAAGAAGACTTTAATCTGAGAGAGGTATGGATTTTAAACCCAGTTATTCAGTATTTATCGACAGAATATATATGCATTATTCTCTCTTCCTCGGAGAGCAAAATACTTTGCTGTACGTTAAAAATGTCTCAAATCCTTTGGTAAAATAGTTTTCCGGTTAATAATCAATTCTGCTAATAAAAGAACTGTAGTACACTTCAAAGGTAATAAATACCTGAAGAGGCACTCAAAATCAAACATTTTAACAGTCCTTGCATGAAAGCAATAAACAAGTCGTTAAATGAAACCAATTAAATAAAGCTTCTAGTTCTTTCCTTTAAAATGGTACAAATATAATATATAAAGCAGGAGCTAATGTTAATCTACCGTAAAAAAAAACAAAAACAAAACAAAAAAAAAATATTATCATTCTTGAAACATCAGTAGTTACAAAAGTGAAAGTATTTTCTAAGCGAAAGTATAGAAAGCAATAATTCAACTCCTACGCTATCACGTTTGAAAATTTCATACTGTTATTTTTAACTGCACTTTCACTCTTCATTTCAGAATTTTAAATGTCCGCCAAACGAGGGTTGAAAAGTCGTCGTCTGCATTCAGGAGGAATGAACGACCGTGAACGAATAAGCAAGCGCGATCGAAATAGAGAAATATGAAAGGGAAAATAAAAAAGAAAATTGCAACAGATTAAAAAAAAATAAAACGTGTCATGGGGAGAGCTAAATAAACAAAAGAAAAACAACCGCAATGAAAATAAAAAAGCAACAAAAAATAAAGAACACGAGAGAGTGCAAAAGCGGGCCAAGGCTGGCTGAACAAGTGCAGCAAGCAGCATGGTCGTTTGCGGCATCTGGAATCAGGTAACCCAGAGAAGCATTCGAATAAGAAGAGAGAGAACGGTTTTTCAATTTTTATTTAAAGGCGGATTGTCTTGTCTCTATAAGAAGAGTTGAGTGAAATCATCGGCTGCGAAAAGTAGGTGGAGGATAAATATTTGGTGATGCCGATGAACTTTCGATGACGCTTTTCTTTGTCGTCATTCCAGACGATGAACCCTTGTACGGAAATTTCTGAACTTTTCCCATTATGTATTTATTATACATGCCCTTAAATCCATTGCTGTATCCTCTAATGAAACAATTTTAATCAAATTTTGCAATGAAACTCTTTACAATAGTTTCTATGTTTTACGGCACCTTCATTGATATAAATTCCTAAATAACATAACTATAACATCACAAACAAAAACAGCTAAATATATTATATATTTATGGCAGGTAGGTATTTAAAAATTTGCAGGGATTTTGGGTACAGAACGTAATTTATTATTGTAATTTTTACTGCTACTTAGGTGTATGATTTTCGCTTATGGTATTTATTATCACAATGAAAGCATGAAATCGAAGTGTTAAGTGACATCATTATAAAGAAAGAAATAAAATCATGACATCAGTTCTCAAACATTATTCAGATCACAGTATGTGCTGCTCAACTGCACCTAATGCTACACATTCTTAAAAAGACAGTCAAATTAAAAAAACTAATTAAAATTTTAACTCTTTAATTTTTTAATGCTTTGAAGTTGAGAAAGGAAATATAACATTAACGTAATTACCAGGTATATAATAATTACATGCAAAATTTTATTACCTTGCAATAAACTGCATCGATGACTGCATCGATGTACAAAACTTACCACATATATTCAAAATATAAAGACACATTAAAATGTACAGAACACATAACAGTTTTGAAAAAGGGGATGATAACATTTTAGTTTTATTTCCGCTTCAGGATGACGCATGTTGTACATACAATGGGAAAAACAACGTACTTTATATATAAATGTAAATTTATCTCTTAAATCACCATTCAAGATTGGCGAAATTCTAAGAAAGCAAAAATTACACCACATTAATACGCACATTTATATTTACTATGAATAAAATTAGTTACTACACTAAAGAAAGTAAGTTATGAATTAAAAATAGAAGGAAAAAAATCCTATGAAAATTTTCATATAAAGCTTCTTAATGTCAACCAAGCTTTACTAACAAGATAATAATAATATTCATTTGCACTTTAACTTATTTCTACTTTATACAGAAGATGATGAAATACTTATCAGCGATTTGATCTGATTGGACAAATATTCTGATTAATATTCGTCTTCGCTTCAATCGCGTTAACTGTCTGCGCTTCAGATTTATCTTGAAAATAAGGCAATGGCTTTAAAAATTCCTTCTGAATGGAAACTATGACTACTATCATTAACGAAGCGTTACAAAAATATAAAGAACTTTAACTATAGTAATTAAATTCTCCGCTTACAAAGGATATGACAAACTCTTGAAACTATAAATGACTCTTCAAATAATAAATGCTCACATAATTTACACATGAGTTACAGGAGAGTCTAAACGCCACTTTTAAACTTGCTCCATCAAAGGCGTTTCGTTGAACTGGAGACAAACCGTAAACCCGACAGGAAAAATTGCCTTATTATGAACTCTTAGGTTTTTATAGGCAAAGTTACTAATTATGCTTTAAATTTATTAGCTGTTTTTAACGTAATAATTTTTCACCTTCTGCCTACCAAACTTAAAAGCAACAACAGTTCGGAAACTTGTCAGACGTTTAATAATGTGTAAAGAGATATTGGTTTAGCACGACACTATTCCACGCACTTTA